TTTGGCCCTCACCCACAACCCACCACTGATAGACCGTGGTTTGACCAATGGCCCGTGCTGGTGAACCGTGGTCTGGGGTTTAAAGGCCTGTTTTGTAGGCCTTGACCTACAACTCTCACCCACTAGGCGTGGGTGCCCTCTGTGGGTTACTACCCAAACAACATTTTTGAGTCTTCCTCAAGGACCCACGGTTGGTCCTTGGGGGTCGTACCTTGATGTTCTAACACGAAACCCTATATTTTTAGGTACGGGGAGGTACGTTTATGACTCTAACCCTCATGTTAAACTCTAGTTTAGCCTACTAGTTTCCGAAGTGTTACAAGATGATGGTTTTAATGATGAAATAATATAGAAGAAAGGCGTAAAAAAGGAGACACATACAGTAGGAAAGTAATAATAATAAGGAAAACACAATATTCGAGGTGTCAAAAAATATTTAGAAAAGAGGGAAATAATTAATGCAAGAGGTAATCTCGGCATTAAGGGATTTGCAATAATATCTAACGATTTACGAAGAGAACAAAATTTTTCTTTCAAAAGAGGTTTAGTAAAAATGGCAGCCAGTTGACAGTCGGTGCTAATGAAAGATATTTCAATATCTCCATTTAAAACATGATCTCGGATAAGATGGTGCTTGATATCAATGTGCTTAGCCCGATAATGATGGACAAATTTTTTTGAAAGACAAATAGCACTGGAATTATCACACATAATTTTAACAGGTTTAAAAGATAAATCATGATTTAAATCAGCCTCTATGGTAGAGAGTGTTATGGAACCTTGTGTTTGGATATTCTAGGAGATCAAAGATTTCCTTAGAATTTGACATGTGCCAATGGTGCTTTTCCTATCATCTTTGTCACCTGCATAATCAGTGTTAGAAAATCCCTCGAGAAAAGAGTTTTTCTCTCTAGGGTACCATAGGCCAAATGAGGATGTTCCCACCAAATAACAAATGATACGCTTTACTGTAGTTAGATGGGATTCTTTAGAGGCTGACCGAAACCTTGCACATTTGCACACGCTAAATAGTATGCCTGGTCGACTGGTAGTAAGATAGAATAAAGATTTAATCATACCTCTATGTTTTGTTTCTTCAACTATCTTACCTTCTTAATCTTATCGAGAGAACAAGTGGAGCTCGTAGGAGAACCTAAGGATTTTGAGTTTTCCATACAAAACTTTTGAATGAGTTCTTTGCAATACTTAGTTTGACAGAGGAACGTAGCTTTCTCTGATTGATAGATTTGTAGTCCAAGGAAGAATGTTAATTCCCCCATCATACTCATTTCGAATTCACTTTGCATAAGATCAGAAAATTCCTTACTCAAGGAGATATTAGCACTTCCAAAAATGATATCGTCAACATATATTTGAATAATAAGATTTCCACAAGAAGATCTCTTAGTAAAAAAACTTGTATCAATTTTTCCTCTAGTAAATCCATGATTTATTAGAAAATTGCTGAGACGATCATACCAAGAATGAGGTTCTTGTTTAAGACCGCAAAGAGCTTTTGATAGTTTAAAAACGTTATAGGGAAATTTAGCATTTTCAAAAATTGGAGGTTGCTTCACAAAAAACTACTTATTCAATAAAACCCTTTAGGAAAGAACTTTTTACATCCATTTGAAGTAGTTTAAAACCTTTATTAACGGCAAATTCCAGAAATAAATGAATAGATTCTAGCGTTGCTACAAGAGTAAAAGTTTCATCATAGTCGACTCCTTCCTGTTGAGAGTAACCTTGTGCCACTAATCGAGCCTTGTTTCGAACCACTTCTCCAATTTAATTTAGTTTGTTTCTATAAACCCATTGGTTTCATTGATAGACTTATTTTCAGGTGTAGGAACTAAAGTCCAAACCTGATTTTTGTCAAACTGATCTAGTTCTTCTTTCATAACCTTGATAGAATGTTCATTTGTAAGAGCCTCATTCAATTTCTTTGGTTCAAGTTGAGAGATGAGTGCAATTTAATTTTCATTTCTTCTTGATAATCGAATCTTCATACCTTCACTTGGATTTCCAATAATGAATTTGTTTGAGTTGTTTGGTTCGCTTTGCCATTCGTTTGGAACTGCTTTGACTATAGGATAAGTTGAAGTTTCTTCAGTAATTGACTTCTCAACATAGTTTGTCTCCTTTTGAGTTGAGATAGTAAGTTGACTATCTTCTTCATCTTCGTCACTTCATGCATTAAACTTACCAATATTGTCTTTGCCATTGTTATGAACAAAACACTTGCATCCAAATGGATAAAAGTATCTGATATTAGGTTTATTACCATTCTATAATTCATATGGTGTATTTTTCATAATGGGTCTAATTAAACATCGATTTAGCACATGACATGCTGTACTTACAGCTTCTGCCCAAAACTTGTGTGGAAGAGAATGCTAAACAATCATTGTTCTCGCCATGTCTTGTAGTGTCCTGTTCTTCCGTTCTACTACTCCATTTTGTTTTGGTGATCGAGGCGAAGAGAAGTTGTGAGTGTATCATTTTTTATTGCAGAAGTTTGCAAGCAATCTCTTTCCAAATTCTCCTCATGGTTGCTTCTTATAGATGAGATATAGTAACCTTTATCTAGTTGAACTTTTTCACAGAAAAACTCAAAGTTCTTTAAAGTATCATCCTTATGAGATATAAATATTACCCAGGTAAAACGAGAATAATCATCAACAATAACTGATGCGTACCTTTTACCTCCGATGTTGGCTGTTCTAGTAGGTCTGAACAAGTCCATGTGTAATAGATGCAGTGGTTTATTTGTGGATACAATATCTTTTCCAAAGTATGGGTTTCTTGTTTGCTTACCCATTTGACATGTGTCATATATATGATCTTTTGTATAGTCCAATTTAAGTAAACCAATTACGAGATTATTCTTAGCCAGTTTCTCTATTAGTCGCATACTTGCATGACCAAGATTATTTTGCCAAATCTAGAGATCATGAGTCATTGATGCTAGGCATATATGTTCTCTAGTGTTTTTTTTTTACAGAATAAAGAATATAGACATTCTTTTCTCTGCTTCATTCCAGTAGATTGTTTCCAATCCTCTATTACACATTGATTCTTTTGAAATCAGACTTCCAGATTTGAGTCACATAGTTGACTGATACTCAACAGATTATACATTAGTCCTGTCACTAAGTAAGCATTTGTGATATCACAGGAATGTACCAACGCCAATAAATGTTCCCTTTGAGTTTTCACCAAAACGAATGTTTCCTCCCTTATATTCCGCAACAGATTTAAATAATATTTTATCTCCTGTGATGTGATTTGAACATCTGCTATCCAGATACCATTTTCCCTTTGTTTTTCTGCGGTGAACCTGTAAAACAAAATTATTATCTACTTTTGTGTACCCAAGCTTTTTTGGGTCCTTTGAAGTTAGGTTTATCCAAATTTCTTTTAGGTCTCCAAACCCATTTAGTAGTGGTATGGTTTCGAAACCTCGAATTGTAAGATAAATGCCCAACTTCCCACAATAATGACAACTTTTGAGAATGTCTTTTTCTGAGATGGAATTGTTACTGCTAGCTTTTGAATTAGTCAACTTATAGGATAAATTAAACCTAAAGTAATTTCCATCTGACGAATTTCTGCTGTTAGAGAAATTTTTATGAGTTTTAGAGGAATTTTTTAAAGAATCAGATTTGTTTTGAAAATTCTCAAGGGCAGTTTTCAGTTCCTGAATTTCTTCATAAAGAAGATCTTTTCCAACTTCACTTACTTCTAAATTCTTTATTTCTAAATTTCTCTTTTCAGTTTGTTGATTTCGAAAATCAGTAAAGATTTGATCAAGGTCTGTCACAGCACAATCTAGCAAATTTTTTAATTCATTACAATTATTACACACCTCATTGCTTGATTGTCCAATTGCCATGAAACATATGTTTCCAATTTCTTTATATTCATTTTCAAAATTGTCTTCATCACTCCAGCTACTTAGTTCATTGTTCTTTTGGTTTCCTCTGGAATATTTTTTTTTTGCTTCTAGATATTCACCAGCTATATGTCCATATTTTTCACATTCATAGTATTTCCATCATTTTTTTATTGATCAGTAATATACTTTCCTTTTCCAAAATTTCTTCCTCTTCTGTTGTTTCTGGACCTCCTGAATGATTCCATGTCTGATCTAGTAATTAAAGCAATTTCATCTTCCACTATTTCTTCTTTTGCTTTGTCTTCATGACTAACTCTGAATGCCGCAGTTTTATTTTTGGTATCTTCTTGGCCTTTTTTGTTCAGATGTGTTTTCTCACAAGCAATTAAGTTTCCTCTAACCTCATAAGAGGTTGGAGTGCTTAAGTTCATAATTTCGAGAGCAACTACTTTGGCATGCCATTGAGGTGGTAGATTTCTGAGAAGTTTTTGTATATGATCAATGGGAGGATACGTTTTTCCCTGAGGCTTTTAGTTCTCCAGAAATCTTACTCAATCGTACAAATATGCTTTCGATTGTTTCTCCTTCTTTCATTCGAAAGAGTTCATATTCGTAAACCAGCAAACTGATGATGTTTTCTTTGACTTTATCAATTCCTTCATACGTGACCTCTAGTTTGTCCCACATTTCCTTGGTAGTATCACAAAAATAGATTTTCTCATATTCCTCGCCATTGATAGCGTTATATAGAACATTTTTTTCATTAGAGTTTATTTGAATATTCTCAATTTGTTCATTCATGTAGTTCTCCAAACTTGGGATGGTGGAGGACTGACTTTCATCTGAACCTTTTGTAGTGGGAATAGGAATATCACCAAGCTTGATAACTCTCAAGACTTTCACATCATATGATTTTATGAAGGTTTCCATCTTAACTTTCTAGTGAGAAAAGTGTTTTTCATTAAAATATGGAGGTCTTCTTTGAGAGTTTCCTTCTTGAAATAGTGATCCCACGATTTGTTGAGCCATGATCTTTTTCTCACCTATTATTAATCATTTTTTTGTGAAGCGAGGCTCTGATAGCAATTTAAAGGGTAAGAGGGGGTGAATTGTTGTTTTTTTGTGAGTATCTGACTTGTGAAGATCCTTAGTCGACTACAGTTTGCCAAGAAGTATACTGAAAGCTGGAAAGTGCATAAGGTAAACTTGACACAAAACGTTTTATACTGGTTGGGATCCAAAAATGGATCTAACGTCCAATCCCCTTGGGTTGCAAGGGTGTTCTCTTCTATACTTTGTAACCTTTGATGTGAGTACAAAGGCGAGTGTAATTTTTCACTATTAAAACTCAGATTGTTTTCACTCTCTGTTTTCTTTTGATACAAAGCCTTGCCAACAATATTTTTCTCTCTTCTCTTTTTTGTTTACACAGTAGAACTAGGTAATACAATTCTTGTTAAAAGTAGAGTAGAGAATGTGAGATGATTCAAACTCGTTGTATATCTCTCCAATGGTAGACGATTTCTCTTTTATAGTGCTTGAGACTTGAATCTTTCCTTCGAAGAGAAGGCAACCCAAGAGATTCGATCCTTGAAAAAGAAGGCAGGGGTTCCTTATTTTCCAAGAATAAGGTCAAGGAAAATCTTCAGTTTCCTTCTATATTTGGCCTTGATTGACTTCTGATCTCAGCTTCCTTGATTGAGATATTGCCGTTGAATTTTCCTTCCTTGATTGTCTTTGTATTTGCTTCCTAACTTGATTTATTGTTTTAGATCAATTTAGCCTTTGTGTCTTCTTCCTTGATTGACGAACTTTTATTGGTAATCTTCAGTTTGTCCGTTTGTATGCTTGATTGAATCTTTTCTGATGTTTGTGAGATCTCCAACTCCATGATATCTGGAATACTTATATTCCAAGTTTCATTCTTGGTTCTTTCCTCTTTTGATGTTGTGTTTTGACCTGTAAGAGTTAATTGTTTATCATTAAAATCTTGTTTTAATAGTCTGCATTACTCCCTTTGCTGTTAGATTCTTTGACAGTAACATTGGAAGGGTAAAATTTATTTACTAGTCTACCTAGTTTTACATTTCCTATTGAAATTCTAATAGTCTTGTTGTTATCTAAACCTCTGGCTCTCCAATTCAATTTTTTTTGGTAAATATCTTTAGTTCATGAATAGTTTTTGAAAATCACTTTTTTGTGGGTTTTTCGGAAACAACCTCTCTACCCCTCAAGACGTAAGGGTAAGGTCTACGTACAACCCCCTCCCCCCCCCTAGACCCCACTACTGGGATCACACCGGGTATGTTGTTGTTGTATATGTAGTTCATAAACAAAGAATGGTAGGTTGATTATGCAATGCATTTGATTTCTCTTATTGTGAGTCCAATATCATAGGTAGGGGTGGGCATAGTTGGGGAAAATCCAAATCTGTCTTATTTTTTTTTTGGTTTGAATTTTAAGTACAGATTGGATTGCAGATTCAGTTGTTTAAATATTAAGATTTCGGATTGGATTTCAAATTTGGGAATTTGGATTTTTGGATATCCGAAAATCTGAAACTTTTATACCTTATTTTTAGCATGAGCCTATTATCCATATGCTTATTACTAATAAGTCCAACACCCTACTTACTAGTTATTAGTTCATATATCCAACTGTAAGTTTTATGTCCTGCCAGAATACTTTTTGTTTCGACATAATTTTACTATATAACAACATACCCATTGTAGTCTCACGCAGTGGGGTCTGGATAGGATAGAGTATACATAGACCTTACCTCTACCTTAGAGGTGAGGTAGAGAAGCTCTTTCTGATAGACCCTTGGCTCAAGACTTCAACATAATTATACTATGTTGTACTTAATATTTTCAACCCTTTATTTACTCTTTTCTATTGCATTTCCTGGATAATATGGTACCATTGCTTGCATAATATTTTATTTGGATGATAGTGGTGGGAATTACTAAGACATTTGAATGGAATTAAGCTCTCAACTTATATGCTCAAAAAATCAAAATATCCAAGCTGATTAGTTTGAACCTGAACTGAAGAAATTTGATCTAATCCAAGGTTGTTTGGATTGGATTTGAATTGTACTCTTCAATTCCAAAACCTAAAATCCTTACTAAAATTTTATATCCACTCCGAATTATTGGAACTTCCAACCTTAGTCACAAGACAACTTGGTATAAAGCCAAAAAGTGTATTGAAGTATCAAAATATTTTGTCAAAATCTCTTTATATTGTTGATTTTAGAAATTCTGTTTATATAAAGATGTTTAATTAGTATATTACCAAAATAGAGCACAGTTATAAGGGGTAATTTTACAAAGAGTCTTATAACTAATTGCAGTTAAATTCAATTGAACATACAATACTCCATTTTCGAATTACTTTGAGGAGAGCCAATTTTTTTTAAAGATCTCAACAATCGATCTAAGATCTCAGTGACCGAGTAAAGATCTCGGCGATCAATCAAAGATCTTGGAGATCGATCCTTTTCTCGAGTAAGCGCATAGGAAGTTACGAATTAAGCTTTGATTCTTGGATTCACGTTCTTCTTACCGTTGCTAGGATTTAATATTGTGCTAAATATCTTTAAAATAAATGGAGTTCAATTTTTTTTTGCAAAAAGAGAAGTGCAAGTGATTCCAAGTCTTTTTATTGTTGTCAAAGTCACACTTAGTGTGCTTAAGCCATGAGACGAGGTTCAAAACGTGTTGAGCACTGCACCTTACTTTATGTGCGCTTCAGTGTCGTCATCAAAGTTAAATATCCCCCTAATCTAATTTTGCCAAACACACAAGTTAACGGTCATGTTTATATATCATGACAACTAGTTTATGTACAAAACTCGCAAAATTATATTAGGGGGACATTTAACTTATTCATTCTATACAAAAATAATCAGTGTTATCAAAGGCGAAAAGCTCAAAAAGTTCTAAGGTACGTTGGGGCTTTATGCGTGAAGCGCAAATGAAGTGTGGGTTTTAATGAAAAAAGGTGCAAAGGGAGAAAAATGCAAATATATATATGTTTAGTCCAAGACTAATAATTATAAACATGAATGCCAAATATATGACCAAAGAAACTGAAATAAAACACATTTTGATAAAAGTGAAATATAAATTGTTTAGAGTCACCTCTTTAGAAGAGGCTCATTGGCAATGAAAAGAATGCTTTAGAACTTTGATGACGACACTGGAGTGCACATAATGTAAGTTGGAATGCTCAACACGTTTTGAGCCTCGTCACAAGGCTTAAGCACACTTTAAGCGCCCCTTTGACAACACTAAAGAAGACTTAGAATCACTTAGACTTCTCTTTTTGCATAAATTCAAACTGAATTTTATTTTAAAAAACTTTAGGACAATATTAAACCCTACCAACGATAAGAACATGAATCCATGAATCATAGCTTAATTGGGAACTTCCTATGCGCTTATCCGAGAAAAGGATTAATCGCCAAGATCTTTGATCGATCGCCGAGATCTTTAATCGATCGCTAAGATCTTTGATTGATCGTTGAGATCTTTGGAATTTTTTGGCTCTCCTAAAAGTAATTAGAAATGGTGTTTTGTATATTCAATTGAATTCAACTACAATTAGCTATACGACTCTTTGTAAAATTACCTCTTTTAACCTTGCTTCTTTGGTAATATACTAATTAAACATCTTTATATAAACCAAATTTCTAAGATCAACAACATAAAGAGAGTTTAACCAAATATTTTGATACTTCAATACACTTTTTGGCTATATACCAAGTTGTCTTGTGACTAAGGTTGGAAGTTCGAATAGTTTGGAGTGGATATAAAAATTTCAATTAGGATTTTAGGTTTTTCGATTGAAGAATACAATTCAAATCCAATCCGAACAACCTTGGATTGGATCAAATTTCTTCAGTTCAGTGTCAAACTAATCAGCTTGGATATTTTGATTTTTTGAGCCTATACGTTGAGAGCTTAACTCCAGTTGCGCGACCGCGCACCGACTCGGAAATTGTTTAAGTCCTCTCTTCTCTTCGCGTTTCAAGAGGGATGTTTCTTTCCTTTCCTAATTTCATAACCCTAACCCATCACTATTAACTTCCCTGAAAAGTCATATTTTAGGAGATTCGATAAACTAGACAAACGTTTAGCCTTTTGTTCTCTAACACTTCAAGAAGAAAGATCTAAGGTTAATTCTCAAGGTCCCTTTCTTAAGTTCTTCATCAAAATGTGTGTTTGAACATTCCTTACTTCATTTTGGAAATCTTACGGAAAATATCTTCATCACGAACACTTGTACATAATTAACTAAAGCTCATACTTCATCACAAACTCTTATAGGAAATTCTCATAGATTGAGGCATGTCAAAAGACAGTGTCCTTAAGGATATTTCATCCGGTATAGGTGTATCCCTTGGATTCAAGAAGCTCTTCTAGTATAAACTAGGAGCCAGAAACTAACAAAGATTCAATTGAAAGAAAACCCAACATAAGAATATATTAAAAGAAGAATTGTTCTCTTTTCTTATGTCACACACTATAAGTATAAGACTTAGATTTATATAGGAAAATCACTAACCTCTCTAATGTATCAATGATTGAAATAGTCAAAACCCATAAAGGCATTGAATTCCATCAATAAATTGAAAGCCAGTCATTTCATCAAAGAGTCGTTGGCAACAACCATACTATGACAAAACTTAATGGATAATTAAAGGATATTAATAATGGCAATATGATATTATCTATGGAGAGAAAATATTTAGGACATAAAATAATATTTTCTTTCAAGTATAATAAGAAATAAAATAATTCATTTTGAGATACTTGAATCACTTTTCCAACAATCCCCTACATATCTCAAAAGAAATCTTGATCTGTGACAAATTATTGTAGTTTTGATGATTGACAAATAGTCTTGATGTGTGACAAAGTATTGTTTATCATCATCAAAAAGGGGGAAATTGTTGGGATGTAGGAGAACATATAATGTTTGGAAGTAGTAGAACATATAAGTAGTTTTGATGATTGATAAAGTGAACCTGGTTCACTACTTGTTGTGTTTTGTGTACTCTATCAGGTGAACCAGGTTCCCAGATGCGAATGCAGATAATCTATACAAATATGTCAGATTGCGGGAAAGAAGAAAAATAATAAAGTGCAGAAATAAAAGAGTGAAAAAAGAAATAAAGAAATAGCCGAAACAAAGAAGGAAAGAAGGAAAGAAATAACGAAATAACAATACAGGTCGAATAAGGAAAAAAGTAAATATAAACAAGTTCTAGGCAGAAAAGGAAAGAGGCAGACGAGTTTAATAAGGACAATGATTAGTTTTCTAGGGAATGAAATTCCTTTCCTTGAAGAAGTTGATAAAGGAAAAACAAATTCTATAAAAGGTTCAAGCCAATTAAAGAAAAACTCATCTTTGAATAAACAGAATTTTGAGAGAATTTTCTAGCAAAGGTAGAACGGTACCTATTATATATTCATGACATCATCTTGAGAGCAATAGCCATTGGAGCAAAACTGCAAAGTCTTCATTATAGCATCACTGGAACCAGGTTCATGAGTTGTGTTCGAGTATAAACTATTTGAATGTTGAAGTCTTATCAATTAAAGTCTAGGGTTATTATACTTTATTGATTTGTTCTAGGTTTATTATTGAATTGTAATAATTCCTAGATTTGTAACAAGAAGTAGGTTTGGCTTGGAGAATAGAGTAGAGAGAGAGTGTTGAGAGAATTGTAACAAGAAGTGGGCTTGACTTTTTGGGGGTAGAGTTAAGAGAGAGTTTTGAGAGAATTGTAACAAGAAGTGAGATTGTTTGGAGAGTTGAGTCTTCTATTATAGGTAATTGTTGAAAAGTAAAAGGTACTAGAGTTTCCTTTTGACTGTTACGTTGTAATACTGAAAAGAATGTGAATTTTGAAGTGAATAAGATTGTGGTATGGTTTTTACCTTCCTTGAGGAAGGAAGGTTTCCACGATAAAATCTCTATTTTATTATGTCGCGTTTTGTTTGGCTCAACAGAAGTACAAGAACCTGGTAATTTTATAGGGGTAAGGTTTCTTCACAAATCATATATTCAAATGATATCTACAAGTAAACCCCCTTAAAATGTGGAATTTGAAAATTTAAAAAGTAAGATACGTTACTTCTCGTTGACGGTTAATATCTACAAGTTACTTAACACAGTCAAAGTTGCGCCCAAGTGCACACTCGGGGTCTCACAGGTGCACGACCACGCACAGTTCTGATGGGATTATTTAGCCAAGGTCGATTTTGGAAATATCATTTTTTACCCCTTGACCTATATAATTACTGATATTGTCCTTATAAGTGTTCAAAGAACATCCAAGGAGAAACGATTAGGAGAAAACTTCATAACTCTATGAACCTAAAACCAGAGTTTGTATTCAGATTTGGTTGTAATATTTTCAATCCTTATAACTCTGCACGTCGCAGATGACAAGATACCATATGAGAAGTCTTTTTCAATTTATATACCGTGCAAATCAATTTACGATATGAGAACTCATTGTCTGATTACGTTAGAACATCAACAATAACAAAATAGCCATTGGTGTACCATTAACATAGTACTCCCTCCATCCTAATCATCATCTATCATATATAATCATTATTATTATAAGTAGGAAGCCTCAAAGATAAAAGTTTGAAAGACCAATTTACCCATCAAATATCAAATATTGAACCACATTAATCATTTAATACCTAAACAATTCTCTTAAAAAAATATGTAAAGTAACGGAGGAAACTTGCCTCAAAAAAGCGATATACCTCGAACTTCCAGAAGGAGTACCATGGTTCAATCCCAACAAAAATTTCACCCAGAACTCAAAACACCTCCACTGGATTCACATCTAGATAAAAGGAAATGTTAGACACAAAGCAGGAGGGAGACACACAAAGACAAGGGGACTTACCTTTGCGAACTGATATAACTTTGCATACCAAGATGGAGAACGTTGTTCACCCAAAGAAGGAGAAAGAGCAAAGAAGCTGAGAGAGGAGATGGAAACATGGAAGCGGCGGATATTTGGAAACTGTGAAAAACAGAGAATGCTTAAGAAAACCCTATTTTTAGGGAGTGGATAAGGACAAGATCTCAAACACTTAGATTGCCTTTATTTCCTTAGCTTTTGAGTAGTGGGTTTTTTTAGCACTATCTAGCTTGGGCAGAACTATCAGACCCTCTCTAATTGTATAATGTTGGATGAGCTCATAAAGGGACCATGGGTCCACAAAATTTTGATAAAAAATTAAATGAAAAATGTCTTTCCAAATTTCTGTCATTACTGTGCTCTACATTAACCAATGTAGATTTTACTATATTGCAGTGCAGAACATTTGCTCTTGGTAAAAATATTCTTAGAACCAGATGACACTCAAGTCTTTCCATACTCTAAAAATTCACAGAAGACTAAGCTTTTGTAAAATAGAAAGAATGTAAGATTTTTGATTATTTGAGTAAAATAAATTTACTAATGTTGAATTAATTACTTTTAAGATTCAAAATTCCGATTATCTATATATCTCAGCAAAACCTTTTTCGGATGAGGATAATAAAATCTTATCATTAATTTTGGACTTATGTTTTACTTAAATTCATAAACCAAATTTTTATTTATTTTATTTAGTTTGATAATAGATTTAAAAAGATAATTGTTTATAGAACCTCCTATATATTTGAAATAATATATTATGTGTTTTTATTCAAATAATTGATTTTCAAATAGAATAAACAACGTGTGTGTTCAGAGATTAGTATAACTTAAAGTGAAAACCTCAAAAGTGTAAAGTTGAATTACCATTGTATCCCTATACTTGATCAAATTATATTATAAAACATCTAATTAATTAAATATCTAAAAAAATTAAAATTAAATGGTAATTGTATCATATTATACTAAATACTAAAAGTGGGAAGATATTAAGTCAAAAGTTGAAAAACTCACTCTTTAACTTTTAATATTATGAGAAATGCTATGATATGTGATATAACATCAAGAATATGCTTAATCCTCACCATTAAATTAAACTAAACTCAGGTATGTAACAACTTACTTAAGGCTTGTACTTGTATTTTATATCTCTTATTTTAGTCAGCAATTTATGAAGCAAATAATGGTGTATTGACAAATATGTTTATAATTTCTCTATTTCAAATTGTCCTCCTCTTTGCTACATTTCTCTTCCAATGTAATTAATAATAACTCACATATGGTGGTTACTTTTCTTTTAGGAGAAAAGATTACTGCGTTGAAAATTTGTATATGATTAAACTTTTTTTTTTTGAGTTATTTGAAGAATCTTGACTTTTTAACTTTTTAAATAATATAGAAGTTTTATAATAATGATAAGGCGTAAACTTGCAAAGCACGTTCCCAAAATCTAGTTTAGTTATACTAAAATTGAGAAGCCACAAAAGTAAATGTTGAAATACCATTTTGCCCCTACACTTAATTTAGTATATTATAAGATATCTAATTAATTAATTATTAAATATTAATCATAGCATATTATGATTACATATTAAAAGTGGATAAGTGTTAAGTCAAATGAAGAAAGACGAAAATATGCATAGAAAGATATTAGATATTTTTATCCTTTTAAAAATTAATTGATTACATTTTTTTTTCGTTTCCATTTTTTGTATTTATTTTCATTGCACTTAATATCATACAAACTATGTTTTTTCTATTCTTTATTTATTTATTTACTATTTTATCCTTTATTTATTTTAAATTCATCTTCATGACTCATATTTAATTATCTACTAGTGTACTTATCCGCGCTTCACGCGAAATTAAATATATTTTTAAATAATTCATGTCGTTAATTGTCTATTTTTCAATAAGAAGTGTATAAAAAACAATACAAATCAAGTCACGTTCTTGATGTTGTTTATTCAGAAAATTGCTAGAAAGATATTTTCAAACTTTAATTTCCGCTTAATATTGCCGATAAAAATAAGAAAAACATTAAAGAAAAGTATGTATCTTAAGAAAAATAAATTAAGTTGATTATATAACATTACGTCGGAGATCATACTTTGCAATAAAAAATAAAAGAATTGAAACACATAATATAAAATAAAATGTATATTTATAAGAAGTCATGATGTCATTAGTATTTTGATGTGTTACTCATCTACTCAATTATACAAAAATTATTGTAAGAGTGAACAAATATTAAATTTTTGAGAGTACATGAAGTGTCAAGTTGTAGAAATGTATACCAAGCGTTGAATCAATGTTTGTTCCTAACACATGTAGAGGAGTTGAAGAGTTCCATAACATTAATCTATTTATTATTGTAGTCATCACTAAAATAAATTAATATATGATAATAACTATTTAAAAGGTAATTCCTTCTTTAATGTGGAAAATTAAGATATATGATTTTTGCTTTAAATAATTACAAGTTAAATACATATTAATCACAAATGCACATTTATTATAGCATAACTATAAAATTACATTTTATTATATGTATGTACACATAAATGATAAATTTTTCTTCATTCTTTTCATTAAATAATTTATTGATTAATTAAAGTTTTGAAATACTCTAAAAAGATGGTTTATTTAATTATTTATTTTGTGATTGATTTCTAATATGATAGACCATATCATATATATTTAGGGGCAACAATATCTAACAGCTATGAGAGATGTACCTTCGGTAATATTATACCTTTCAACAATGACAAAAATTTAGAATATTAATTAGAAATTGACAAACAGATACACGCAGAAACAAAAACATGATACTATTAAGCTTCTTTCATTCTCATAATAATAATAATAATAAGAAGAAGAACAACGTAACAACAAAGTTAATTAACAAAAAATGCTAATTAAACTTTCTAATATGTTGGTTAGTAGAGTTTTATAAATTGTTTTTTGTTAGAACAAAATGAAATTTATATATTTGATCAAAATAAAATAAAAAAGAACAGAATAACATTAATTAAAATCAAAACAATTCATTAATAAATCATCAAAAGATTGGGAAACCATTGAAACTTTTATGCTAACAAGGTCATCTCTTTTGATGAATCTTCTAAGATAATTGAGTTTCATTCTTCATTTTGATGAACTTGCACCAAATTAACGTGAACATCTCTATGATGAATCTTTGAAGAATATATCTATGATCTTTACCAAAATGAAGACCATATCAAGACATTATTAAGTACGTGAAAGATGAAAGAGATGAAAGAAAAAAGAATATAAAAGGAGGAAAAACTATTAATTAAAAGAAAGAATGAAAAAATGGAAATGGAAATGAATATTGAACATCTCCACAGATGATTGTTATTTATAAATTGGGTAAATCATAACAATTGTTCGAAAGAAGTTAAAGGTGCATGTTATTTAAGTAAAGAAGATAAATAAATGGAGTTTTTTTTTTTGTAACTTATTAGATATAATTATAATAGTAAATATGATTGAATTTTTATATAAATAAACAAATTATTTATTGAGAAAATGAAGAAAAAAAACCAAAAAAAGGAGAACATGGATAAATAGGAATGGATGCTATAGAGAGGTGTCACATCACCTTCTCTATGTTTCTCCTTTATATATATATATATAGAGAAAGAGAGAGAGAAAGAGAGAGAAATTTTACATGAGGAGTTGAAGAGTACCATAACATTAATCTACTTATTGTTGTAGTCATCATTAAAAAAAATAAAATATATGATAATAACTATTCAAAAGATAACTCCTTCTTTAATGTGGAAAATTAAAATAGATAATTTTTTCATAACTATAAAATAACTTTTTATTATATGTATGTACACATAAATGAAAAAAATTTCTTCATTCTTTTCATTAAATAATTTATTGATTAATTAAAAGTTTTGAAATACTAAAAAGATGATTTCTTTCTTTCTTTATTTATTTATTTTGTGATTGATTTCTAATATGATAGACCATATCATTTATTTTTAGGGGCAATAATATCTAACAACTATGAGAGATGTAACATCGGTAATATTATACCTTTCAACACTGATAGTAATGGCAATGGATGTCCACAAGGTGGGCAAGGAGGAAATCAGCGAGGCTGTGGAAGCTAGGGAAATGGTAATGTAGGTAGAGAAGTAGTGCATCCAGGCAAAGAGGTTGCCCACCAAGATGACAGGGCTCAGTTTTATGCCTTTTCGGGCAAGACCAAGGTTGAGGCGTCGTATGCAGTGATCAAATGTCCTATTCTTGACTGTGACTAAATGGCTACTATTTTGTTCTATCCGGGTTCTACTTATTCATATGTGTCAGTTCAGTTTGCCTTAGGATTTGATGCATTTGTGATGTTCTTGATGCCTTCATCCATGCTTCTACCCAGTAGGAGAGTTTGTCATAGTCACCTATGTCTATCGTGCTTGTTCTATGTTGTTTATGGGTTTCCAAACTTAGGCTGATTTGGTTATTCTAGATATGACTGACTTTGATATAATCTTAGGCATGACTTGGTTGTCCCCCTATCATGTTGTGCTTAATTGTAATGTTATGTTTGTGATTCTAAAGATCTCGGGTAGGGAAAATTTAGAGTCGGAGGGGGTGTACAAGCCTAAGCCAGCTAGGGTCATATCTTTTGTTCGGGTAAGGAAATTGGTAGGGCAGCGGTGTTTGGCATATTTGCCTTATATTCGAGATGTTGATGCTGAGTTTCCCATTATTGAGTCTATTCTTGTAGTGCCTGAATTCAAGGAAGTGTTTCCTACCGATTTTCCTAGTATGCCACCGGATAGGGATATAAATATTTGCATTGACTTGGAGTAGGGCACTCGCCCCCATCTCCATTCCACCTTTATCGCATGGCTCCAGCAAAATTGAGAGAGGTTAAAGCTCAAATCCAGGAGCTTCTTGGTAAAGGTTTCATCCGTATTAATGCTTCCCTGTGGGGTGGTCTTGTCTTGTTTGTTAAGAAGAAAGAAGGAAGTATGAGAATGTGCATAGACTACCGACAATTGAATAGGGTCACAATTCGAAATAAGTATCTGTTGCCTCGGATAGATGATCTATTTTACTAGTTACATGGTGCATCAGTTTTCTCAAAAATTGACCTAAGGTCCGGTTACTGATATACCGTGAGTTTACGGTATTTCTAATACGTTTCACTTACAAGTTGTGTGTGTCTAA